ATGGATATGCTGATCCCCTTTAACCGTACATCCTTCCATTTATGTCCACTCTTTTTTATTCATATTTTATTTTATTTTTTGAGACAAGGCCTTGCTATGTAGTCCAGACAAGCCTAGAACTTACTATGTAGCCTTTAACTCACAATCCTCCTCCCTCAGCTTCCCAGGTACTGGAATTAGAGGCATGAGCTGCAATGCCTGACTCCACGGTCCACTCTTCCTACAAACATTTCCTCTTTCTTTTTCCCCATCTCGTCTGAGCTGTTTACCATCTACATGCTGTTATGCTGCGCTCTATTCCTGTCCTCTTTGACTCTTACATTTGCTCTTTCATGTTTTTTGGTCTCTTTCCTGCTGCCTTTGCCCAGAACTGGTCCCGCTGATCAAAGCTCACTGTTGCCTCTCCAGCATCATCCACCTCCATCATCTCACTTCTTGCTTTCTCTCCTCCAACTATTTTTCCATTCTTGATATTTCTCTTTGGTTCTTTTTTTTTTTTTTTTTTTGGCCTCTTTTGAGACAGGGTCTCCCCAGTAGCCCCAGCTGGCCTGGAACTCACTATGTGCACCAGGCTGGCCTCAAACTCAGAGATCCGCCTGCCTCTGCCTCCCAAGTGCTGGGATTAAAGGCATGTGCCACCAAGCCAGGCTCTTTTTGGTTCTTTTTATAATGATTTCTTGTTCTGACTTCATGTTATTATTACCTTCCCTTATCTCCTTAAGTAACTTAAAAGCGTTTATTTTAAATCAGAGCCCATCTGTTCCAGCAAGTCTGCTTCAGATTAACGATCAGATTGTCTGGTTTTCTGTCTTTCTTTTGATCAGTGTACTCTTTTGACCTGTGGGCCAGTGTTCCTTGGGGGGCACAATGACTCCAAATGATGAAGTGTCCTGGGGAATGGGCTGCAGGCACTGTATGTTTTGGGGCTTTGACTTTAAGGCAAGCAGTGGAAGCGAGCTCCAAGTTCCACACAGCCGCAGTAGGACGCTGTGAACTTCCTGACTAGGGCCCTCCAAGGGGAGGCAGCATTATGAAGAGGCATCTTCTTGCGTGTGCAGAGCAGTGGTTGTACAAGACAATGTGGAGGATGCACATTCTTTCCTCCACCCCAGCTTCTTACTTGCTCTGTCTTCACCCCCAGTGTGCCCCTGGCTACTGTCCTTGGGTCCTAGAGTCCTACACTTTCTGCTTGGTTCTATGATTTCGCCACAGATGATTTGGGGGTTGAGAAGGGCAGCCATGTTGGCAGGAAGTCATCACTCCACCAGCCTCCAAACCTGATGGCTGTCCTCTGCTTCCTGGAGGGATTCATCCTGGTATTTCTGCCCAGAACAACCTGGTTGTGCTGTGGAACCCAGATTTCACTCCCACACAGCTCCCCAGAATGGGGAGGGGGGAGAGACACCCTCCCATCCTGAAGTTCCATCCAGACTCCTCATTTAAGTTTCTGGATAAGAAAACTAAGCCCAGTGAGGAATCCTGCTCTGAGGAGAGGGAAAGCCCTGGAGAGGTGGAGAGAGCAGTGAGCAGCAGACCAGTGTGTGGTGAGCACTCTTGTTTTTATGCTTCAGGAGAGAACCGGGAAGAGTGAGCCTCTGTTAGCCAAGGGCTCAGCCGACATCCTTGACCCTCTCTACACCACCATGCTGCCTCCTCCCATCTTCCCTTGTCTCCCTACTTGCTGCCCTGAGTCAGGCCTCAAGAGCAATGCCTCCCCTGCTCCCCCTAGGGGCCCAGCTCCTCTTGCTCAGAGCAGATCTCTAGTCCCTTTACCTCTCTGCACCTGGCACCCTCCTAGGACACTGCAGCAAGGCTGCGAAATAGCCTCTCCCCATCCTCTTTTGACTGCCCTCACTCCATTGAACCACTTCATGCTGTCCTTGGCGCACCCTCCCAATACCCCATACCTACTGCAATCCCCTTCTTTACAGTTCTGTGAGGCTCAATAGTTACTGCCTTCCCAACTCCCCACCTCCCAGCCTGCCTTTCAAATCTGTCTGTAACTTCCTCACCTATCCTTCCTATCCTCCTACCCAAACTTCAAAGCACCCCTGAACCCCAAGTTCTACCTGACTCTGTTCTGCCTCTCCCACCTCAGGGGCATATGGCAAAGGCTTGGGGTGATCTCTTGCAGCCATTTCGAGCCGAGAGGAGAGGGAGCATCAATTCTGCCCATACCCGACCACAAGGCTGGCTCTACCCTCCTCGGGGGTCCTTCTGCAGAGAGAGAAAGAGAGAGACCACTGAGCAGGCAGACCCCCTCCCCGAATAGGCATGGTGTCCCACTCTGACAGAACCCACGGAACTCCGTCCTGTTCAGAGAACAGCCATAAGGGCCGTTCTGTTTATAGCGTAGGCTGTGTAAAGTCTGCGTACAGTGATGACTCTATGTATCAGAATGAGCGTGTGCATGTGTCAATGAGAGAATGCTGCTGTGTGACTGCGTCTGATAAAGGGATCATACAGGTTGACAGGTGTGGGTCTACCCCCAACGCACCCCCAAGAAACCCTTTCCTGACCTCTGGGGAGCTGATGCTTGCAGTGGTGGGGTGCCACCTGGTGGCCAATAACTGCACTACAAGCAGCTCGCCATCCCTGCAGCTCAGTAAACACACCGCACACACACATTTCTGACCCCAGCTTCTTTGGGGGAGCCCATTTACTTGTCACCCCAATGTCCCATAGCAGGGACAGCATGTGGAGCCCCTGTCCTCCAGCATTACCTTTTGTCCCAGAGAAAGAGGCCTTGGAACAGAGCCAGACCTCACATGTCTCTGCTCACAACAGAGCCTTGACTAAGTACCTCTCCCAACCTCAGGCCACTCAGCTACAAAATGAACTGATCGCATCTATGCCACAGAATCCTCGTGATGTTCAAATAAAATGTCAACTGAAACCATTAAGTCTGGAGGGCAGGGAAGCTACAAGAGGCCAATGGTGTTGGCCTTGTGTTGTGTGACCTCATGAGGGCCGTCTGCAGGCTCTGTGCAGAGGCAGCCCCCACCCCCACCCCACCTGTCTTTGTCCCTGGCCCCAGTCCTCTGCTCTGACATTCCAAGACAGTTGCCCTGCCCACTCTTCTAGAAAGCCAGGGCATACCAGAGCTCCTTTCAGCATACCAAGAGGTAGGGTAGGGGCTGAGCAGACAGCCAAGACTTCTATGGGGCACAGGGACCTCAGCTTCTAGGGCACTTCCCAGCCCTCTCTCTGCACCCTGGTCCACTGTTCACCCAGTCTTGCAAGCCAGAATCTCTTAGACCCACTCCTTACCTGGTAAGGGCTGAGCTTTTCCCATAGAAGGCTCTTGCCAACCTCCCCCCTGGCAGTCACTTCTCTGCTCTTAGGAAGGAACTTGTTGGGCTATATGTCCAAGTCACTCTCCTGCTAAAAGTTTGTCCCACAGAGTAAATGCAGGCACAACAGCCTGACCTTTAGGACCTTCCTGAGCTAGCCTTAGCCCCTTCATCTCTCCAATCCCCTCAGGCTATCTTTCCTTCTCTGCACCTTAATGGGAGCAATTTCTTATTCCACAGGATCTATGTCCTTCTGCCTACATGAAAACAGCCTCTCAAGCCTCACTGTGGTTCTCAGGCTCAGGATCCCACCTAGAGCACCATGGCCCTGCATCCAGGTGCCTATGGCTGATTTTGATCTGTTTCCTTCATCAAGGTGAGACTCTCCAGACCACAGAAAAGGATCAAGTTAGCTCAGGGGCCTGCATACATTAGGAAGTGATTTATGGGTTATTTTGCTTAATTTGGTGACAAAGAAGAATGTCACAGCTTGAGACTGAAGGGAAGGCTGGGCTGGGGACAGACACCAGATGCAGGCTGAGTGGGGCAGCAAAGCCTTTTGGGTTAGGTTGTTTCCCCTTCTCCAAAGGCTTATGGAGGAGGGACCAGCACATGTGTTCAGGGTTAGGGGTCATGAACAGAAGAGCAGCTCAATCTACCTGTGATGGCCCATTAAAATAGACTTCTCCTGTCAGCCTTGGGCCAGGCACTGAATCACTAGTACAGACTGAGGGCCTATGGCCAGGCCTGGCTCCTGTGCTCTGAGAAGACAGAGAGCCTGGAAGAGCTCAAAACAGAACTGGGGAGAAGCCAGGCATGGAACCTGTACCCGGAGGTCAGGGCCCAGGCTGGAGGCCTGGAGACCACTCAGTCCAGAGAGCTGATTCCAAACCCCCAGGCTGTGGGCAGAGGCAGCGGATGGGCTCTGTGTTCCCAATGGTGAAGCTGGCATCCCAGGCTCTTACTCAGGTTGTCATAGGTTGACCCTGTCTGTCCCTTCCAGGCACATCCTCTCTTTAAAAAGAAAACCAGTATCCAGTATCCAGGCACCCTCACAGATTAACCTTGACCAGGATGTAGCAGCCAGGCGAGGGATAGGATGAGCTAGGCAAATTCGCGGGGAGGGGCCTCCTCGAAGTTCCCACCCCAGAGCCTGCTGGGAGGGTCTGTGTAGCCCCAGGTGCTCACAGAGCCAGAAGGGCAGGGATGAACCCCACAGACAAAATCCAGGGAGAGATCTGGTGTGGAGTCACACACAGGGGAACCTCTTCCACAGCATTCAGAGAAGCTGGGATATAGGACTTACAGGGACCTCGGCAATCCTGCAGCTAGGGAGAGGCTCTGAGGCTAGGGAGCTGGCTGTATGATTGAGATGACCAGGGCAGACCAGCACGCAGGAGTGTAGAAGGAGCCACAGGCCACCTCCTCCAAGTAGCCTCCCCGGTCGCTTGCACTTCTCAGGACTTCATCTGCAATCCACAGTCTGCCAACCAAGATGCTCATACTGTTCCATGCTTGGGCCTCCCATCTACCACCAAGCCCTAGCCCTCATATCTGGCCCAGGAAGTATCCCAACAGGTCCACGACACCCCTAGAACTAGTTACTAGGAGTTGGAAGCTTCTTTGGTAGTAGGGGAGTTTCCAAGGGCGCTTGCCTCTCTCAGTCATTTCCCCTCCACCCCATGCACAGAGTCTACAGACAGCCTCCTGGGGGAGGGTTGGTAGAAAGAAATAGATTTATTCTCATGTACAAAGCAGTCAGCCCACGGGACCACATACAACAGGTGCACAGAGTCCTAGAAAAATGCATCTCTCTCTAAAGGCAACTCAGAGTAGGTAAGGCAGGTGGCCCCCTCCCCCACTCACAACACACACAGAACAAAACAGAAGTGAGGCCAGTGGCTGCTGACCCAAGAGGCCCAGCAGGGCACAGGTGGATATGGCCTTGAAGAGGAGAGAAGCCCTACAGGGATTAGGCCAGGCCCCTCCCTGGTGGCAGGAATGAAAGAGGGGCTCAGGCCAAGGGGGTACACTTAGGGGGAAAAGAGGGACAGGAGATAGGGTGTCTGTGCCCTAAAGTGGCGGGGCCACAGCCACAGCTGGGACTCTTAAGAACTATGGAGATTTTTATCTAAAAGGAATCTTAGTCACACAGTCTGAAGGAAGATCTGTGGGCACGTAGGGGGCTGACTCTCAGCTCCAGGATCCTTCCTGCACAGCATTCCCATCTGCCTTCCGTTGGAGCCCCTTCTCCCAGAGCACTGAGCTACTTGCTGGCAGCTTCCTCCTAGGGTCCCACTCCTACCAGAAGCACAGAGGTGGTCCTCAGGGCCCCTTCATCCTATGACTATTTCTAGCTGGTGACTGTTTCCCACCCTCTGCTCATGGAGAGGTCCCATCTTCTTCCATGAAGATCTTCGGTTCCTAGGGAGTGGGGAAACTGACTTGGTGGGGCCAGAACAGGGCACAGAAGGAAACATGGAGCTGCTCAGAAAAGGAGCAACTGGGGGAGGACATGGCAAGGTGTAGTCAGAGGTGCAGAGTAGGGGCCCCGCTGCCACTGGCCACCCCTGTGCTCTTGAAGAACAAATGGTCAAGTCTGTGAGAGAGTGGGAGTTGTGCTCCCCCAGGAAGGGTGGCATGTGCCCAGATCACAGGGGAGGTCCTGGCCTAGATCCAGGACCCATGGCTCTGGTTCCCAGTGCATCAGACAGACTGGTGGAGGGTTATGGAAGAAGGGCCAGGAAGGGAGGGTCCTCAGTGGGGATCACTCAGCCTCGAGGCTGCAGCAGCCATTGACAGGAGTCCCAGTACCATCCAAACCGGGCACCTCGTATTCCTCATCCAGGAAGTCCAGCGAGTTGTTGCTTGGGAGGCCGCGGATGGTGAACTTGTGAGACACCTTGGTCCAGTGCTCACGGTTGGAGGCCACCCGCTCATACAGTTCAGCTGCCTTGGGGAATAGGTCTTGCAATAGCCTGGGGGTTGCAAGGGATGGGTTAGAGATCAGAAATCAGAGCACAGACAGCAAGAAAGATGAGGGCTGCACAAGTAGCACTTCCATAGGAGTGTGAAGCCTGAAGACCGACCCAAGAAAATATGAAGGTCCCTGTCCACTACTGTCCAAGAATGAAGGGAAGGGCCCACTTAATGCCACTGGGTGTCCCAGGCTGCCCGCCCTCTTTATGCATGATCCCAGCTGTGCTGGCAAGCTCACTCACTTGTAGATGGGCATTGCAATGTGTTCCATGAAGCTGATCTGCAGCTCAGGGATGTAGGCTTTCTCCCGGTCCATCATCTCCATTGGCCTGTTGCCCATGGCCTTTTCCTGCAGGCAGCTGTTCATCAGGCCTGCCCCTTCTGCTCCTCAATCAGGTACCACAGGGGACCAGCTACCCCAAACCCTACCAGCCCTGGCTGGACCAGGAACATTTCCCCTCCCACAACACCACCCTAGTCATCCTGAGGTCACCCCACACATACCAAGTCTCCCTGGGAGAAGAACTCTTTGTAGATGAGTTCCTGGAAGGCAATACTCTCATCATCTCCTGCAAGTCGGATTTGTCCACCCAAGCCCATTCCCAGAATGGCAAACTGAGACCCAGTGACTCAGTCCCACCCATGGCCCACCCTCATCAGCTTGCAAGTGGAGGGTACAGTACAATGTCTAGATCCTACCCACTTCCCCAAAGTCACTAACTTGCTGTGTGACCCTGAGTAAGCCAGTGCCCCTCTCTGAGCCATTCATCTGTCAGTCTGAGAAGGTCTGTGGGTGCTGATTCCCCAGAATATAACCTTTCTGAGTTCAGCACAGAAAGTTCGCAGGCTGAGGGGCAGAGAGTATAGCTTGTGTTTTCCGAGGATGGAGGGGTAGTGCTTACCGCAATCTTTCTGGTGGTCTTCCAGCCCTTGGTCTGGTCAGAGAGATCACAGGAGGTCATGAGGAGGCAGAGGAGGAGCCTGTGGTGCTGCTTGTTGGTTCTGTCATAGCCCACTGTTGGGGGACAATGGAGTCAAGGAGAAGGGTCCAGACTCCTTGTCTATCCCAGTGTGCATCAGAGAACAGAACATGTCTGATGGGAACCAAGAAGCCAGTACTGGGTCTCCCTGGAGAAACACTGAGGCCAGAAAGGGCTGAGGCTGGGAAAAGGCTGGGTCAGAACCTCTGAAGATGCTCAGATGGGCAGATTTCCACCCTGACCACCCATCCCTCCCCAGCAGCAAGGTCCTGAACCTTCAGCCATCTTCTGAAGGTCCTTGAAGATTCGGAGGTGGTGGGCCAGGTCTGTGGCCAAAATGATGTCTCTCATCAAGTCTAGCATACGCTGATAGTCCTGCAAGAGGACCAAGGGAGGGACACTGTGATCTGCCACATACACCCCATCCACTCCAGGAGAAGCTCCCTCAGCTCCTTCTGTCTGGCCAGTCCCCAGCTTTCAACCCCCACACACCCACTCAGCCCCATTACCTTCCGGGAAAAGTGGTCAAAGATGTTGCAGCCGTGGGTATTGAGGATGGCGATTGCCTGAGCAAAGTGGTGCCTCTAGGGGTGGTAAAGAGAGAGGGATACCACTGGGGCTAAGTGGCTCCCCTCACCACAGACCCCGAGAGGCAGGAGGGGTCCAGCAGAGCCTGGTCCCCAAGCTCAGCAGAGCAGGCAGAAAAGGAAGTCAGGGGTGCCAGTTTCCTTTCAACCCTCTGTGACCCAGTCCTAGTCAGCTCCATGCCTGAGAGCCCTCAGCTGTCACTAGGAGGGGCCCAATAAGGGTTGCTTGGAGAGCCTCACAGGCTGGAAAAAATTCTGAACTGATCCCTTGATGTCTTGGACACTAATTCATGCAAAAAAAAAGGGGTGGGGGTGGGGGTGGGGAAGACAGTGAGGAAGGAAGGACAAGGCCTTGTCTCCAGGTAGTGAAGGGCTGTCACTCAGAGGAGAAGCAGGCTCAACCCAGAGGACAGAGGGCAGAACCAGGGCTGCCACCAAGCCTCCCAGGAGACAGCAAGTACACATCTCTGTGGGTGTGCAAGGAAAGGCAGCCTCTAGAGGGGTGCTGTGGGAGACAGCCTGGAGCAAGGTGACCTTGGCAATGTGCCTCCCACTGCACCAAGACCTGCACCAGGCACAGGAAATTCAGATGTCTCGGGGCTTGTTCCTGTCCTGGCCCAAGAAGCTCCATGCTGGAGGGAGGGAAGACCAGCCCCAGCAATCTAAGAGTAAACTCTGGGGAGCTGAGCAGCCCCTAACCCCTGGACCTGAAGAGGCCGGGCACGATGAGGGGCGGGGCTTCACAGTGTCCTACAAACCAGGCTCAGGTTGACCCAGTGACTCCATTCATACCCCATCTGCGCTTGCTCCAGGAAAATGAGCATGCGTGCCCGGAGTGCAGCTCTTGCAGCCTAGCTAGACAGACAGCGTGGCTTGGGAACTGTGTAACTTTTAAGTCATTGGCCTCTGGGGGCTCGGGAAAGGGGCTATGCAGAATGGTGATTACCTCCATGACAGAGCCCTCTGAGCTGTAGAGCGCAGCCAGCACAGATTTCTGGAAAGGTCCAAAAAAGCTCCAGTCACCCCTTCTATCCAGTCACCCCTTCCATCCAAATGGAAGTGCACACTTCCCTTTGGGGCTGAACATTGCTCCCTCCCATGCCTCTGGTCTCACTGACTTCCACCTCTCTTCAGACTGAGAGGGGCAAGGCTAAAGGTCCCCATTGTGAGGGCAGGTCACCACTGTGAGGGTGGGCAGACTCTCACCGAGGCCACCTGGAAGGAGTTGTTTGTGCCTCTGTGGTCCAGGTCGTGACACATGCAGGAAATAAACAAGGCAAAGATCTCGATGTCCCTGGGTGGGAGGCAGAAAACAGAAAGCCATCACCCACAGCTTCCTCCTTGGGTGCTCCAGAACAGGGACAGCTGGATGATAAGGGCAGGGGTCACCCAGACAGGCAGTCCCGGAAATAAACTATCATTCATTTGGAGTATCGAGACCCTGGATGGAATCAGGTCCATTACTCTATATGACTGAGCATGCCCTCATGAAAGATGGGGCTATGTAGTCTGCCCCCTGGGCATGTAAAGGAGCTGCCATGTAAAGGACTGGCCATGTAAAGGAGCTGCCACATAGAAGGGGGTCACCATCACTGCCAGATGTGAGGAGAGCAGCCACTCACTCGAGGTAGTTGGTGAGCTCCAGGTTCTTGTACAGCAGGTAACAGAAGTGGGAGACAGAAAAGGCATGCATCCAGTTGTGGTAGGGTGGATCCCGGTAGCCCTTCTTCACCATCAAGCAGAACCTGGGGGAGGAACCAAGACCGCAGAGGGGCCTCAGCTTCTCCTCCTCCAGGCTCTGTCCATGTCATTTCTTGCCTTTCTTTATTTATGACTCTGTGCCTAGGAATTGTTTCTCATTCATGGATTCTCCCTACCCACACAAGACTGGGCCTCCCCTAGTCATCCTCAGAAAGATCCCTCCCCAGAGTGCTGAGGACAATAGCAGGGGTGGAAACTGGAGCTCTGTACCAAGGAGAGCTGAGACACATACCGGGCCAGAGTTGGGCAGTCAATTTTGTAGTTATTGATGAAGTTCATGTCCTGCAGCATGCTCAGGATGGCCTATAAGTGGCAGGAGGGAGGTGGCAGAGGAACTGTATCAAGATGTGGCTCCTGCCTCCATCTTTCTTGAAGCCCCATACTCAAAATTTTAGACCCTTAGAACACCTAAACTAGAGGACCATTAAATAGCTAAACAGACATGCTCAGAGCTGTGAACTTTTTCCTTTTTTAAAATAATTTTTTTGCTTTATTTTTATTTTTATGTGTATGAGTATTATGCTTGCATGTATGTAAATGCACCCATGTCATGCAATGCCCGTGGAGGACAGAAGAGGGCATCAAATTCCCTGGAATTGAAGTTACAGACAGTTGTTAACTGCCATGTAGGTGCTGGGATTCAAACTCAGGTCCTCTGCAAGAACAGCCAGTACTCTTAACCACTGAGCCATCTCTCCAGCCCCAGAGCTGTAAACTTTTAGAAATATAAGGGGTATGAAAACTAAGAAATGTTGGAACCAAGCTCACATAAAAATCTTAGAACACAGGCAGAGGCTGTAAGCCTCAAGGCCACATGCCCAGGATATCAATGGTCCCAGAGCAGCTCTGGGTCAGCAGTCAGTCCCACTGCTAGTCCCTGGGCAGCCCCATTGCCCTAGGACAGCAAACCACATGCCCACTCCATCTCTAAAGGATCCTCCATAGCCTCGCTCAGTGACTCTGGCTTACCAGGAAATTCTTATACATATCTAATTGAAATCTGTGCCTCTCACCCTCTGCCTCCACAGCCAGGCAGAAGAGGGCCAGCTCACCATGGAAGTGTCGTCCTCAGGCAGAGAGCGAGGAGTGTAGGTGAAGTTGGCAAAGTTGGAATCAATGGCAGCCACAGGTTGGATCCCATCGTGGAGCAGTTTGGTGTATTCATCATCAGAGACCTAGAAGAGGCGACCAGGCATTAGCCATGGCCTCCCCAGTGTTTTTCTTCTCAAGTTCCTATGCAGGTGGCAGGGGGTCCCTTGTCCAGCATGCAGTCTTACCAGGCAGATGACAGCTCTGCAACCCACATGCCTGTGTCCCCTGCCTATGCAGATGGCCACTTTTCAACTATGACAGCCTATCCCGGGAATGTTTCTTTGTGACATCCCATGGTGGCTTTTCACAGACAGGTATTCTAGCAGTCTGTCTCCCTGGGAGACCTTTCTAGTATCTAACCTCTATCCTTCTTGCTACTGATTCGAGACTGCTAACACCAAGTCCAGGGTACAAATAGGGGGAAAAGTTCCACTGAACAATAATTGTCACATGGTCTAAGCTAAGACTTGGAGAAGCTCTTCTGGCACAGGGACTGGGAATAGGGTGGAATATTAGCAGTTAGGATTATCCACGGCTACATAACCACCGTAGCCAGGGAGCAGCAGGGAAAAGCTCCTGGTGGGTTTTCAGCCCTCAATGACTCCCAAGATGGAGTGCCCTCTCTGAACATGAGGACTTGGCTGAACTAAATTCTCCCCTGATTGAGACCTGCTGCCTGCTTCCAGCCTGAGGCTGAACTAAGAAAAAGGCTTGGGAGAGAGTTCTATGAGGATGGTTAGGAGACAGCCCCTAGGCAGAGCAGGAGGCCAGATATTGCTCTAGGTCTGTATTCACATTCTCAGAAGCCAGTCATCAGAAAGCTCAGCCTGGACCCAGGGTCACTGAGGATTCTAGGAGGCAGGGAAAGAGCGGGAAGCAGGTGGGCCCAAGACTCTAACGACAGAAGTTCTATGCAAACCTCACCTTCATGTGGTACATCATCATCTCATTTGCCAGGTGGCTGCGATACTGAGCCTCATTCACCTTCTTGTATAGGAGAGACTAAGGGGAGAAAGAGAACGACAGGACTATAGTGGCGGCTGAGACATAGAATGACCAGACTGATGCAAAGGGGTCAAATTTCAGAAGTTCCCCCTTCCTGTCCCATTAGGGTTCCAGTGTAAGCCCTGAGCTACAGCCCAAACCACAGGCCCCACCCCGACTTTCACCCTCACTGGCCTCCTCCATTTTCTTTTTCTTTTTTTAAATTTCTTTTTATTTTATGTGTAGGAGTGTTTTGCCTGCATGTGTATATATGTGTATATATATATATATGTATATATATAAAACACGTGTACAGTGTCTTTGGAGGCCAGAAGAGGACATCAGAGGACATGTGGGTGTTGGAGACCAAACCCAGGTTCTCTGCAAGGGCAGCCAGAGCTCTTAGTGTCTGTGCCATGTCTTCACTATCTCCCCCTCCCACCCCCTGGTTGTTTTCTTAACATCTGAGGCACATATAGAGTGTCTCCTGAACATGACCCAGACTTCAGTGATAGAACCTGGCAGGCCTTGGAGGTAGAGAGCAGCAAGGAGGGGTTAACCTCAGGAACCTGGGATGGATTTCCAGGCCAGAGCTGCCAACAACCTGGACAGCAAGATTCAACATTTGCCAAAAAGAAGTTGACCAGCAGAATGGGTTGAGGTTGCTTTCAGAGAAAAGGGAGCAGAGGAGCAGATTTTTGGCAACAAAATTGAGTGTGTGTTTCTTGTTTGCTAAGACACAGTAGCTCAGTTTGGCCTCAGATTTGTTAGGTACCCAAGGGTGGTCTTGAGCTCTTGATCTTCCTGCCTCCCCCTCCCAAATTCTGAGATTACAGGCCTATGCCACCATGTCTAGTGCAAATAGGGTTTTTTTTTTAATGGTCCTCAAAGGCTGGGTGAACAGGGCAGGAAATAATATCCCCCATTTTCAGGCAGAACTGAGCCCCAAAGCAGCCAGCATGTACTGCAGGCTGTTCAGCACCCCAGTGGCAGGGATCTGAGTCTGAGCCCTGGGAATGGACAGAGCAGAGCAAAGAGAACTATTGTGGGGAGCTGAAAGGAAGGTCCCACATCCTCCCGGCCTCGGTCCCACTCCCTCACATGGGCGATGCTGATGCCGCAGTAGATGGAGAAAGCTGTGGCCAGGTCCTCATCGAACTTGCTGAACCATGGCCCATTGATCTTGTTCACCAGCTCGGCCACACCGATGACCTCTGGGGAAGCAAACAGAGATAGAAGAGACCGTAAAGAGATTGAAAGTGATCTGCCTCCTTGCAGCTCCTCTGGGAAAGTTGCATGCCTGGGCAATCCTAATCCCTTGGGCTCGGGATGCCAGCGGAGAGCTGGAGAAACGTGAGCTGCTCCCGCCCCCTCGAGGCCCCGCCCCTCAAGGCCGCGAGTCCGCACCCTGGTTCTCATTCTTGATCGGGAAACAGAGGATGTTGCGCGTGCGGAAACCGGTGCTGTCGTCCACGCCGCGGTAGAAAAGCGGATGGGCATACGCGTCGGGGATGTTCAGGATCTGTCCCGTGGTCGCCACGTGGCCCGCGATGCCTTGGTCCGCCGGGATGCGGATCTCATAGCTCTGCCGGGACAGGGATGGAATAGAATGCATGAAGTTTGTGGCCAGGCTGTAAGGGACTACCTTCAAATCTTTGGCCTGTTCCCCAGCATCCCTTGCGAGCTCCCTCACCTCATCGTCCACCACGCCCCCGTCGAACACCTTGGCCACCAGTTCGTTCTGATCCAGCAAGAACACGGAGCAGCTGTGGGAAGAAGGGATCCACGGGGTCCTGACACCCCTCGAACCACTCATGACTGGGGTGATGATTTCTGAGGACATGCAAGAGTGTCCTGAGCTGAGATACTGTCCTGGCCCATTCCTAGACTTTCTCTCTCTCTCTCTCTCTCTCTCTCTCTCTCTCTCTCTCTCTCAGTCCCTATTATGTGTCAGACCCTGTACTAGGAGCTAGGGGACCTGTGGCAAGCAAAGCTAGTGCTGTCCCTTCTGAAATAAGGGCTTGGTCAAAAGGTAAGGCCAGACAAGTGGGCAGGGAGAATGGGGGGGGTAGGACTGAGGCCCCAGCCTCCCTCCTCATCCCTGTAGATTCACTCACATCTCGGCATTGCTGAGGTTTCTGGCCTCGGTGATGATCTCCTGTAGCAGGACAGAGACATCATCTGGGGGAGGGGAAGGGAAAGCACCATGAGACCAGAGGAGTGCCAGGACAAGCCCTCCCACCTCTGCTCCCCAAAGAGTTCAGACACTTACCCAAATGAGTGAAGAGGTTCTTTGCCACTTGGAGAAGAGCCTGGGATGGAGGAAGTGGAGATCATAAAGGGTTAGATCATCATCACCCTAACAAGCCCCCTGCCTCTAAAAGAGCTCTAGGACTTTCTTATTCCTCCCCTAAGGCTCACAGAACAGGCTGGAAACTGACCAAGTCTAATAACATTTGGCTTCTAAGTGAAGGACTTGGGGAAGTAGCCCAGAGAAGATGAGTAGACATTGCCTGGGTCTCTCTTAACACCCACCTGCTTTTACTGCCCAGATGTTGTGGTAGTGCCCATGTTCAACACTAGAGGGCCATCACAGACAGAGCCTGCAGCCCCTGTTTCTACAGACCTCCCTCTTTAAGAGATTTCCAGGTCAGTGGGTTATCTAGCAGCAACAGGGCAGTGCTGCCGTTGGTCCAGTATAACATGGGCACCTGTCTCCCTTTCTGGGGCCAAAGTTGTTCCCAACTCACAACCAGTACTCACCTGGCACTCACACTTGAGCTTCTGCTCCTTCTGGAAGGCCAAAGTGCTAGTGAGCACTGTGCCAGTGTAATAGAAGCAGTGCTGGATCACATGTTCATCCTGGTCTGTGAACCTGGAGTAAGGGCCAGGGGACCCAACAGGAGATGGAAGATGGGCTGCTCAGCCTTTTTCTCCTTTTCTCCGTGCCATCAAGAAGCCCGTATCTACCAGCTAACAGAACTCTTTCCTCACTGGGGGCCACTCTACTCTCTCCCTCTCACTCAGGTTAGAAGCTCTCTCAAGGGAGAGCTCTTCTTCTCAGACCAAAATATGGGTTCCTCCTTAAGCTAGTTGCTTTGTTTTTGTTTGTTTGAGACAAGGTCTTACTATGTTGCCTAGGTTGGCCTGAAACTGCTAAGCTCAAGTGATCCATCTGAGCCTCCCTAGAAGCTGGGACTGCCCAGCATGCCACCATACCAAAAGCGCTATTGCTTCTTAAAGCCAAAGCCTTATCTCCATCCACTGATTGGAGTTACCCAGACCAAAATGGTCTCCTCCCTCAGACTAGAGACTTGCCAAGGTCAGAGTTGGCTGTCCTCCTGATCCTCCATGATGGCTCTTCAGCCTCAGAGAGAGAAAGTGGCAAAGAAAACAGATGATGGCCAGTCAGCTACCACCTGTGTCTCAGCCACCAGCTGCTACAAGAGTCTAGTACTCTCTTCAGCCTCATAGTCTTGCATTGAAAAACTGCTCAGCTCATCACTGCTGGGGTAACACTCTTTCCCTAACCCTTTTCCCACTCTGTTATCCTAGTGGAGTCCTGCCCTGCCTCTCAACTCCACATCCTGATCAACATCATTCCCTCAGACTCACAAGTCTCCTCCCGGCTTGTTAAAGGCGCAGGCCAGGGCCACCACCTGGTCAGTGGCCCGGCTGATGACAGGAACACACAGCATAGCCTGCAGCTCACAGCCCAGCATGTTTTGCAGCTGTTGTATATCCTCCTGTAAAAGAGAGGCCAGGAGTAGGGAGTCCGGGAAGGGAAGAAGGAGCAATGGACTTTCTCCCCAGCCCTCCACCACACTCTACAACAGGCTGTGACATGGGGGTAAGATACCACAAAAATCCCTGGGTCTTGTCTCCCCATTCTAGGCTGCCTTAGTACGGAGACTCTGGGGGATGATCAGGGTGGGGAGGGTCCCCTTTCCCTCTCCCCTGGTTTAGCATGGCCACCACTTACAGATGTGAGGTCCTTCAGCTGGATGGACTTCTTGTCTTCCACCACCTGGCCCAGGCGTCCCATGGTCAACTGGGGAGAGAGGAGAGACTGAGTTGGCCCAGATCTCCATATCTTAGGTGATTGCAACCTAACCTCACCTTCCAAATATGGAAGTTTCAACAAACTCTTTGAGCAGTCCAAAGACTGGATGGAGTCAGTATTGAGGAGCAGAGAATGGGGGAGGAGGGAGAGTTGAATCATCTACAGTAGACTCTAGGATCTTCCCCAACCAGAGAGAGATAAGTCAGCTCCAAGGAATCTCATTGATTTCAATATAGTCTAATAGATTCATATCTAGAAATACTCCAACAAATGCGAGCTGGTCCCACAGAGGGTTCTGAACTACATAAGAGATTGTTCCTGCTAGAGCCTGGTCATGAGCTACTGTAACAGTATATATAGATACTTTATATATAAAGTATATATACTTGTAATATAGGGTATATATATATATACTTGTGATACTTTTAAGTAGACCCCAAGATATAGACCAATCCCACCAGATTTCAAGAGATTCTAGAGGGCCCTGTTCCCTCCAGGCAGATCCCAGGAATGCCTGGTACCCCTTAACAGTCTCTGCAGACTCCAACTCAGGGGAACAGAGGTGGAACTCACAGGAAAGCTGATCTCTTCCCCCAGCACTTTATCTCCAATGACCTATGAAGTGATGGAGACAGGTTAGTGGGAAGGCAGACACAGATGGCCACGCCCCACAGTGGACCTGGACCCTCACCTTGCAGGAAAGCTGCAGATTGTCCTCTGACACTAGCAGGAGGCAGCAGCGGGATGCCTGGGTCTCCTGCTGCAGCTGCGAGGGGACAGGCAGAGCGGGGCTGAACACTGGGCTGGGGCCACCCTCTCCCCCTCCCTCTGGCCTGAGGGTTTTCAGGCTTTGGGTGGGGCGAGGGGAAATGTCCCAAACTGAACTGAGGGGGCTTAAGGGGTCTGTTGGTCTCTAGGGAGAGAAGAGATGGGAGGGGAGGGAGGGATGCTCAGGGACTCACATATCGGAGGACTTTGAGCTGCAGGGAAGTGGCATCCAGGTCGTAGAGTTCCCCTGTCAGGGCGGGAGGCGGGTCACAGATGGCTCGGCCTAGCCTGGGGGCTGCCAACCTGTCATTGACTTGCCCCAGGCCCCGACCCTACCTTGCCTTCGGCCCCACTTGACCAACCAGATGGCCTAAGTTCCTACCTAGTGTTATCCGAGTGCCTCCCACCCCCATCCCCCACCCCCGCCCCATGCAGCCACCTCTCCGGCCCCGCCTACACCACAGACCCGCCGCCCTTCCAGGATCGACCCTGCCAGGCCCTGGAGACCTGCCCAGGTCCTTGGCCCTCACCGCACAGTTGCAGGATCTTTTGGTCACGGTCGGTGTACTTCTCCCCAACCTTCTGATCTTCCTTGGACCCTTCCGGGGAATTCTGAACCGCTCCAGGAGCCGCACCGAGCCCGCGCTGCTGCAGGGCCTGCACCCTCCGCAGGGCCACAAGGGTCTGCGGGGGGGGGGCGGTCAGCACACCAGCCTCCCCCGTCCCCGCCCCGTTCTCGATTTCTCTTCCTTGCTCAAACAAATCCCTATGCCCGCAGTGCCCATTGCCCGCCCCAGTACCTGCACCTGTATCGGTCCCTCTGTTCCTATATCCGTTCCTCTGCCCCTGTCCTAAACAGCTCAAGCCCTTGGGGCCCTCCCTCTCCTGAGAGTTCCCACTGCCCCGGAGCCTCCCTCCACCCATGAACAGATTTAAGAGCTGTCTCCATCCCCTGTCCCCAGATACTCCCAAAGGAAGACAGGATCAGACTTTTCTGCCTCACACCAATAGAAATCTTCCTTTCTGGTTAAAATCAGACTGAAATCGCAGGCAGAAAAGAAACTCAACTATGTGCAAGGTATTTGGCAAAGCTTGTCTCACCACTAACCTAGGGAGGCAAGTACTATCATTCTCCCTATTTTCAGATGTGAAACTGAGGCTCAGAGAGGTTAAGTGGTTCCCTCAAGGTCCCAAGGCTCCAAGGTGGTGGAGCTGGAACCGGAAGCCAGGTCCGTCCAGCTCCCTGGCCAGGTCACCTTCCCATCAGCTGTGATAAGGGTCTTCAGCAAGCCCCATGCTACCATGGTCCTGTCCCACTCACATGCTTCTCTACCACCTGCAGACTCCTCTCCTCACTGTCACTCAGCTGGCCACAGTGCACCTGGAAGGAAGGGAGAAGAGACTAGCTATGACTTTTCCCAGCCTGTCTCTACATGCATGCCCTCCCAGCACACACCAATCCCTGCCAACACATACACATGGCCACAGTCTGTGGCCTCCATGTAAGCCCATCCTTCAGACCAGACATTTAGCTCTGGGGAAATTCTTTCTGGGAAAGCCTTCTAGGGCAGATCCAAACAGTGGAACTTTTCTGTCTCAGTCACATCCCTTTCTGTCCTCAACGTCCCATTCCTGGGGCAAACATTGTTCCATGGATGGCACAGTCCAGGTGTATAGTGTCAGCAAGAGGGACTTTGGACCCCTCTCCATCTTCCACACATGGGGTTCTTCAGGCCCTGGTTACAGAATCAGTGGAACATGCCTCCCCCTACCCGCTCCATCCTTTCTGAGTGAGGTTTATGCTGTCCTTTGCTCATGGGCAAAGGTGCCCAGCATGACATATCTGCCAGGGGGAATGCGTGGCTGAAGTGAATGGACTGATCAATGCTTTTTGCCTTACACATAATTCTCATCACTGTGGGATACAGCTCCACCGTGCAAATGAGCCAGGTCCAGAAAAGTTGAGGGACTTGCCCAAAGTCACCAAGCAGAAAGTGGCAGTGTTAGGACAGCTCCACCCACTCCCTTGCCTTCTTGCCCATGCCTTGCATTTTTGGATTCATTCCTACCACCCCCATCATCCTGTCCCCTGTGCCTGATACCAGGGCTCCCTTCAGCCATCTTTCATGCTCTGGGAATCTCTCCATCCTGCTTGGGTGTTTTGAGAGGAAAATAGGGAAAGGAAGCATGGCAGTCTAGAGGCCCAGGGCCTGCCAGCAAGGCTTCCCACCTGCCTCATCAACTTCCTTGGCTTACTCAAAGCTGCTCACCACCTGTGGAGCTTCCCACAGTGCTTGCATTGGCGGGGGGGGGGGGGGGGCTCCTTCATCCTCCCTCCCAGGCTTCAGCAGCCCCTGCCTTGCCTCTGCTCTGGGTCCCCTGCCAGGAACAGATGGAGAGGAGACCAGCAGGTTCTCAGGAAACTCAGTCTAGCCAGGGGCAGGATGAGTGGGGGTATACTTGGCAAGAGGTGTGGGACCTTATACCTGAGGGAGACAGAGGTAGAGGGGGCAGGGGAGGAGCATAGAAATAGAGACAGCCTATGCTGGGGACCCCAGAGGGGATGGTATCTGGGAGGCCTCCTGCACTAGCAATATAAGCAGAGGAGGAGAGAGGGGATGCCTGTAGGCATGAGGCTGCCGTGATAGGGCCAAGTGGGAGGTATGTGGAGAGATGAGGACCCAAGGGGGCAGAGTCCATGGGGCTATAGATGGAAGAGCCTTGTGTGTCAACCTATAAATTTGTGATTTAAGGAGCCATGGCAAACTTTAGCATCTGACATCCATCATGTCTATGGAGTGGAGGGTAAGTGAGGGGGGAGCAACACTATAGGTAGAGTGACCTGGAAGAGACCTGGGTGACCAAAGATTGTGTTGAAGTTTAAGCTAGGAATAAGCCTCCCTCTGAGACTCTCACAGCACAGGGGCTGGAGGGCAGCTGAGACCAGCTTCCTGTGGTTTATGTAACTCTGCCTGCATTTTATGGTTAGTGTGCAGAGGAGAGCACCTTCCTGTTCCTTCTACCTGGACCCATCTCTCAGGAGGAGAGAAGGTTGGAACCCCTCTAGAGCTGTGGAGCAACCAGTTTCTGAGCTTCCCTAAGGTCTGGACCCAGATGCGGAGCTGGGAGACAGAAAATTCTTAGGGAAAGGAAGAGACTGTGGTGTACCTTGATCCCAGGGTGTGCCGCTGGGCTGCCTCAGCATGTGTTCAAACACACACAGGTACCCTCCTGAAGAACCTCAGGCCAAAGTGCATGTATACACTTACACTCACTCTCTCATGGAAACACACACACACACACATTCATATACCCACACCTCCAGTGTCTACACTACCCATATGTGTATATTCATACAAACACACACAAAAGGAGCTTGGACACTCAGAAGCCACACACTTCTGACATCTTGCCCCAATACAAAGCCAATCAATCACCCCAACACACTTGCTTGTTAATTAGGGTGGGTATCTGGGGCCCAGTAGAGAGCACTGAGCAGTGAGCACTGGGGTTTAGAATGATTTAAAAACCTAAGCACAGCCACCAAGCCCATCCTTACCAAGTTCAACATGACATGAATAGGCATGAACACCCTATTCCCATGCAAGGAGTTAGCAAGCATCGCTGGGGGTGGGGGGCGCAGGGAACACAGGCATAAATCATGCATCAAATATCAGAGACCAAGGGTTGCCCATGCCTCAAAGGGACTTGTTATCCTAGAACTGCAGAACAGAGCTGGAGAGTTTTCACACAAAGAATCTGCAATCAAGGCACCTTGAACAGAAATGCAAAAGTTCAGAACTCAGCCACAGCCATGCACCTGGACAGTGTGTTTTAGGCAAGGCCTCTGCTAACTGTAGTTCCATCAGACCCCAATATTTCCCACAGAGCTCCCTGGTCTCTGTGCTAGCACTTGCCAGAGTTTGCAGTTCTCTCTTTAATTTTTTCACCTCCAGACTGTGTAGTCTGAAAGCAGGAACTGAAGGTCTGTCTTGGGCATTTCTGTGTTCCCAGAACATAGCACATAGTGCTTGGCACCTCGAAGAAAGAGGCCCTGGATGGATGAATGCATGGATGGATGCATGCATGCATGGATGCATGGATGGATGCATGGATGGATGCATGGATGCATGGATGGATGGATGCATGGATGCATGGATGGATGAATGGATGGACTGGAGGAAAGATAGCTGACTGGGTGGGTGGGTGGTAAAAGAATAAATGAATAGATAGAGGGATGGATGGATATATATGTGTGTGTAAATGCGTGGACACCACCAGCAGGGACCCAGAGAAAAGATGAAGCTGGTAACTCATGGCCCTCCCTCTTCCTTCAAGTCCCTCTGTCCTTGGGATGGGGAGCAGCTGGGTACATCATGGCTGCCTGCGCTGCCTCTAGGAAGATGAAAATGCCTGTGACCCAGGGAGCAGCTGTCAGATGTGTGTGCCTTGGGGAGAGGGCATCCTGGGAAGTGCATTTCTACCTGACTGGGAAGATTCAGGCTTAGAGGAAAACTGGACAGTCAAGCCATCTAAACTCCCTTCAAGAAAGAGCTCTCTTGGGGCTGGAGAGATGGCTCAGTGGTTAAGAGCACTGGCTGCTCTTGCAGAAGACCTGAGTTCAGTTCCCATTACCCACATGGAGGCTAGCAACCATCTATGACTCCAGTTCCAGGGGATCTGATATCCTCTTCTTACCTCCATGGGCATTGCATGACACAGGTGTACTTACATACATGCACGTAATACACTCATACACATAAAATAAATATAATAAATAATTTCTTTAAAAAAATAGTACTCGCTGCTCTTGCAGAGGACCTGAGTTCAATTCCCAGCACCCACCTGGCAGCTGATAACAGTCTGTAACTCCAGTTCCAGGAGATCCTCTGCCCTCTTCTGACCTCCCCAGGCACTGCACAACATGGGTGCACTTACATAGATGCAGGTAATACACTCACACACAAAATAAAAAAATAAGTAAAATATTTTTTTTAAAAAAGAAAGAGCTCTCTACTGCTTACTCTATTTGAGAAGATAAGGGAACAGCTGTCAGAAACTTCTGATGGCCAAAACCCAGGTGACATCTTCCTTGACCGGATGCATCCCTCATTTCAGCCTCACTGAGATGACACTCTTCACCCAACAAATAACCTCCTTTCTCCTTACCTTTACTCATGAAGTTACCTCTTCCTGAAATACCCTTTCTCTTCTCTTCCTGCCCACCTTCCTATTTATACCCCAAAGCTCTATATGGGGCACCCCTTGCTGCTCCAACCTTTACTAGAGCACCTATGGGAAGCAATTATTTCATTTAGCTGTGGTGACCTAAAGATGTCCCTCCCTGTCCCCAAACTGAAAACTCCTATAAGTAGAAATGGTTTGTCCCGGCCCCCAGCCAGGAGTAGCTGGGCAAGTTAAAAATGACCCTGGCCTTTCCTCCCTCTAGAAAGCTAAAGCCCAGACTCCTGGCTTAATACCAGTCAAGGTGAAGAGCAATCATGGTGGTCATCCTTCTGTCCCAAAGGTAAACAAGTTCCCAAAGGCCCTCACCTTGTAGGTAGTCTTTCCCTTTCCACCCAGTCCTCACCACCTCAAGGTGAGGTTAGGCTTCCGGGAGGCCTGGTACCCCCATGCAGGCCGAAGTCACTATCTCCCCACCCTCACTTCTGCACCTGCCCCTGGCCCTGTCCTTGGTCCACCAAATCCAAGACAGATGGTCCAAGGAGAGGGGGAAGCAGAGCTGAGAACTCTGCAGACAGCAGATTCTCTCACTGGGGGAGCAGAAGCCAAGAGTGGGGAGCTGCAGAGGAGGGCTAAGCTCCTACAGGGAGAGGAGGCACAGCATCAGGGAATCAAGTCAGGCTCCCCCTCTCCGCTGGCAGCCGCCCCCCACTCCCGGTGACTGCCCTGCCAACAGCTGGGGAAAGGTCAGGTGCCTCAGAAATCTTTAATTCCCTTTTAATGAGCTTGGGAGGAGTCCCATGGTGCACGGAGGCCGACTAATGTATCTGTCCCTGGTGACACCACTTGGACATGGGCAGCTCCCCATCTTGGGGTACTAGCCCTTTCCTGGGACAGGACAAAGATTTTGGGTCCCATCTCCATATCGGGGAAAAAAATATATTAGCAGAGTCATGTTGGCTGTCAAGAAGTCTGAGGGACCTGGTAAGGGGCAGCAGAGAGCAGCGGGAGCCGGGGCAACCAGTCCTACTGAGTTAGTTCCAGGCCCATTCCAGCTTTACACAAAGGCTCCTTCTCCTTGCTCAGGGCTGCTGTTCCAGGAGGCTCCCTAGCTGCCCGGATGGCACCCAGACAGCTCCACCAAGGGTGCCCTCCTCTCTTCAGGGCCCTAGCTCCAGGAGTCCTGATCTCTAACCCCATGGCCTATGGTGTTTCTCTTGGTAGTGGCAGTCTCATGTCCACCTAGCCCCACTCAGTGCCTCTCAATCACATCCATCTCAGTGTTCCTGTCCTCTCGAACGATGCCCCGAACCTATCTGGAATTTCCCAAGTGGAAAATGTGCAGAAAGCTGGGTTTTGTGACTCTGGGGGCTGAGTTCAGACAGGGCTTGGGTAATGAATGGGTTAGTGACTTGTTTAGTCCAACTAGGGTAAAATCCAGCACTGGGCTAAGGGAGATGGGATATGGGAATCCCAGGTAAATCAAGCCTCCATTTGCCTCCAATCTAGTCCAGTGTTTTATACACACACACACACACACACACACACACACACACACAGATATATGTACACAAGCACATACCAGACAGACTCCACCCACAGCTTTCTCTCCTTCCCCCATCCAATCCACAACCCAGGCACCTGGGCAGGCTCTTACCAAGATCACAGCTGCCACAGTTCCAGCCTCCTTGTCCAGCAGGGGTATGACCAGCACTAAGGGGAAGAGGGCAATGAGGTGGTCCTGCAGGCCCAGTGCGACCCAGAGATACTGAGCAGGGACCCAGGGAGGGAGACAAAGACTCAGACAGAGAGACCGGGACAGAGACACAGAAAGACCCGGAGACCCGGTGAGACAGAGAAGGGACCTGAGTCAGTGACCTAAACAAGCACATCAATGACCCCTGAATAGAAGGAAATCCCCTCACTTGACAACTTTCTTGTGATCCTCCCAAAAGCCCTGGGAGGGAGGGAGGCAGGTGAGGCTGAGCACCCTTATTCTGTAGGTTGGGAAACTGAGGTCCAGAAAGTGGAAGTGACTTGCCCAAGATCACTCAGCAAGTCAGGTCTCCTGACTCCCAGTCTTGTGCACTTTCCACATCGAGACAGAGGACAGAGACCTAGAGAGACTGAGACACGAGGCAGAGAGAGACATGGCGGACAGAGGGGCATGGAGGGGGTAAGAAAGAGAAACAGAGATGTGACGAAGAGCACATGACAACTACAGTCCCATCTGGCAACAGGCAGGAACACACTTGTAACTGTAACCATCAGTCACTGACATCTAGTAAGTGCCAGGCTCTCAACATGCCCCAACTCGTTTGTGCCTCACAACACCCCCTCAAGACAGCCACTGGTGTCCCCATTTTACAATCAGGAAATTGAGGCTCTGGGAGATTAGTAGCATGTTAAAGAGAGAATTAGAGGAGGGATTACTGGAAACACAGAGCAAAAGAAAGAAGACAGATGAGGATGGGCAGAGAGCAGACATGACCTGGGGGTAGAACCACAGCCCTCCCCATGCCCAGTCTAGTCCCTAGCCCTTACCTTGGGTGTCAGGAGCCAGCGGAGCCACCAGCCTGGCCAAGGGCTTCCCTGGTAGGTCCGAGGGGTCCAGTCCATTGCAGCTCAGTCGCTTCTGAGAAATCACAGCCTCTCTGAAAACAAGACATGGTCCCGCTTCTCAGCCCCTGGATCACAGAGGAGTTGGAACCCCAAGCCTTCTCCCACCCCGACTCCACCCCCCTGCCAGCTCAGAGAACACAGCAAGCTGAACCCTGCACACATGCAAGGATCTAGATGATTTGCCTTGTGGTCAACATGAGGACAATAAAAATGAATCAGACCCTGCCTTACTCCAACCTCTTGTGGAGGGGCTGACAGCCACAGCCTGGCTTCTTGTGGAAGATGTGGGAAAGGCATGTGTGCAGAGCCCAGGGCAGATCCTTGGGCAACCATGAGGGCAGAGATTATAACATTGGGGCTCACAGCTAGGCTGTCAGGTTAACAGTAGCCCTTGCTACTTGACCTTAGGTGAGTGGCCTAACTTCTCTGAGCATCCCAGGAGGAACGAAAGTTCCCCATCACCATCCACATAGCAAGTTTTGGTGGTAGGCATGAAAGAGAGACTCCAGAGGTAGCCAGCCCAGCTGACGTTACTGGGCATTTCCTGTGCACCATTTATAGGTTATACCAGGCAATTTACATAGATTATGTTTTAGTTACTTTTCTCATTGCTGTGACAAAATCAGCTCAAGGAAGGGTTTATTTTGGTTCAAAATCTGAGGGTACAATCAATTATGGCAGGAAAGTGTGGCAGTGACAGCAGCTCTAGGTGTGGTGGCAGGAGTGTGAGGTGGCTGTTCACACTGCTTCCAGAGTCAGGAAGCAGAGAGAGGAATGATAATGTTCAGTTTGCTTTCGCCTTTTTCCCTTTTATTCCGTCTGTGACCCTAGCCCATGGGATGGTGCCATCTGCCTTCAGGGTCGGGTTATCCTTCCTTAGTTAAACCCCTCTGGAAAAAGAGAAAACAGACACATCAAGAGGTATGTCTCCTAGGTAATTCCAAATTTAGTCAAGTTAGGGATGAAAATTTACCACTACAAGCCCACCTGCTACTCAAACACATCAATTGAGTTTTAACATTCTTGCCCTGGTGCTCAGGCTCACAACCACCTCATAATGCAAAATGCATGTGGTTTGTCTGTAAGAATCACCCAAAATCTTAACAGTTCTAATATTATTGAAAACTCCAAAGTCTCTTCTGAAACTCAAGGCAATCTCTGAAGTGTAATCCACTGTAAAATTAAAAAGCAAGTCACATATTTCCAATATATAATAGCATAGAATAACCATTCCCATTCCAAAAAGGACCAGCAAAGAAAGATCAGACCAAAGTAAGACTGAAACTCAGCAGAGCAAACATCAAATCTTGAAGATCCCTGTCTTGGTGGTATCATCTGGGTACCAACAGCCTTGGCAGCCCCAAGATTAACTATCACAGATTAACTAAGGCATTCCCAACATCTCTATGGGTTGGAAATTATTGTCATCTCCATTTTCAGATAAAGAAGTTAAAGTTCAGATAAGTTGCTGGGTGTGGTGGTGTGTCCTTTTAATCCCAGGGAGGCAGAGGCAGGAGGATCTCTGTAAGATCGAGGCCAGCCTAGTCAATACAGTGACTTCCAGGAGGGCTGGGACTAAGGATACCTTGTCCAAAAAAAGGTACAGGCAAGTTAAGTAACCTATCAGAGGTCACATTTCTAATTAGCAGAGTGAGGCTTTGAGCCCAGGCAGCTGGTACCAGATTTGGGCTTAATCACTATACTTGGATGATCCCAAAGACCTGTGAAGTGTGAGCCTCAATCAGGAGATTGGTATATTTAGGGGATGGGAGCTGAGGTAAGAAATGAAATCAACCCAGACTTCTGGCTCCTTAATTAAGCACCCAACTTTTCACCAAATGTCACTCTCTGATTATTAACTGCCCTCGGTTCCTCATCTCTCAAGCTACTTCCACTTATTGTGTTTATAGGAACAGCCTAGTGTGGAAAGGGGAGAAGCTGGGACTCTGGAGCATTCAGTTGGGTTATTAGAGGAATCTAGCACAGGCCATGTGAAGAAAAGAGAGGGAGCAGCTTGCAAATCACCAAGTCAAGAGGTCACATCTGCTAGAGAAATCAGAGACCAAAGAGGGTGAGCATCTCTTTCAAGGTCATACAGCATTCTGAACCAGACTCATTTCCTCCTGGCCTCTCTGACCAATTCAGAACCTCTAAGATTCAGTGGCATTTTCTACCTGCTAACTAACCCTTATGCCCAGCATCTTTGAGGCTGCAGAGTGATGGGCTCAAGTTCTGGTCTGTTCCAACTGCTTGAAATCACCCCAGGAAGGAACAGGGATCCAGAATGGCAAGAGGGCAATGGGAGCCACCTTTCCTGTTGACTAAATTGATGAAGGCTGAGGCTTCTTGGGAGTTGTAACCCCAACCTGCTAGTGGCCTCAGACACGTGGATTATCAGGAAGTCACAAGTGGGGGGGGCAATGGTCCCTGTGCCTCCAGTCAGAAAGCTCTGCAACCCCACTCACCAGCCCAGAAGTATCCTACTCTCACTCCTAGACCTCACAGTTGTCTCTCTCTCTCTCTCTCTCTCTCTCTCTCTCTCTCTCTCTCTCTCGGATTCTGATGATGGGATCTGTCCCCCAGCCTATCTTCTCTTGTGCACAAAACTCTCCTTTCTCCACACATGGTCTCATGAGTCTCTGGCTCTTGGTTCATGAGCTCAGATTCCAGATACCAAGAGCCATGGAGGCACTAGAGATGCCCTGAATGTCTCTGAAGGGCTATACCAGCCTGAGTGTATCTTCTCTATCTGCTTGTCAAAACAGCATAACTCCACTAGGTCTTCCACAGCTTGTCTGAAAACTGTTCAAGCCGCCTCCCTTTTCCTCAGCTTCCCTCAACAGCTGATGAGTCACTTCCCATGTGTTGCTCACAACTGTCCCCTGCTTTCTATTCCCAGGCCACTGTGGAGAACCTTGACCCCAGCCTCTAGTCTCCTGCCTGAATTTCCAACTGTCTTCTCTAGCACAAGAATCCATTAGATGAAAGGCCTCATGGGAACATTCTGCAGTCTCAACCCATATGTCCCTTCCCAGTCAGCTTAGGTACTAGGAGCTGACTTGAGGGGTGGGTGGGGCCTATGCACCACTTAAGGATCTCAGCATCATGTGGAGACTGACATACAGACCCATACCGGAGCCAGAAGCCAGGATTCAAAGGGAGGAAGAACAGGCTTAGACCACCTTCATGTGGGATGGGAGTGGGGTCCGAGATGACTTCCTGAAGGAGATGCCCAAGTCTTAAAGGACACCCAAAGGTCACTCAGGCAGATAGGCAAGGATGAGCAGACATAGGGAAATGCATGTGCAAAGGCTCAAAGGAGTGAGGCGTATATGCCTGCTGGAAAGTCCAACCACAAGGAAGACTGTGTGGCTAGACAGTGTAAGGCAAGGCCAGAGAGGGTGCAAGGCCCTAGAGAGCTGGGTTTGATCCTGAGGGCAGGGAAACCCTGGTGGGGATTTGAACAGGAAAAGACAACTGTTGTCCATCTAACACTGGAAATCTAGGCTCAGCGATCCAGTGAAGAGAGGCAGGGCTGGGGCAGATCAACCTTGATTGGAACCAGTCCCCATCAAGCAGTAGGGCCTCCCCAAATCTTCAACTCTCAGGAGTTGGCACCTCGCTCTGTACCTTGCTCTCCCCTGGTCCTGTCATATCCCACAGCCCCAGGGAGGAATGCAACAGGCATGTCACATTTTCCCACATGGGAACCCATTTACTTGTACACATTCTTCCCAGAATTGCTGCCCCCTGAGGGCCCACAAATGCCCACAGACTGCAAGTCAAGGTGCTGAGTTGAGAGCTCCCCACTACATGGGAGAGGCTTACCTACTACTAGACCCTGAGCTATCCCCAACCCTTCCCTTAGAGGCCCTCCTGCCTCCTCCCTGCCACCCCCTCCAGGTTGATGCTGAGGACTTGGGAGTGGAGGAGGACTTCACCCCCTCAGGACCAGCTGTCCAAGCTGAAGGCCAATGACTCAGTCTTGGTGCCACAGTGGTCATGGCATGCCCCACTGAAGAAAAAGACAGATGGGCACAGAGTGCAGAGAGGAACGGGTGTGGAGTTTATGACAGTTCCGTTCCTTTAACAACTATTTGTTTAATGGAGAAAAAATAGAGGGAAAAGCTGTGTCGGTAAGGTCAACAGTCTGGAAAGCATCACGTGCCCAGGTCCTTGCCTCTTCCTGGAGCACCCACATCCTCCTCTGTTCCTCTTCTAGGATGTAGACACCCCTCCTTTACTGAGACCTGCTCCTACCTGCCCTCTCACTGAGCCCCATCCCTCATTGAATCTCATCCTTCACCAAGCCCCACTGGGCCCCAGACCTGAGTAGCCAAGTCCCGTACTAAGTCTAGCCGCTTCTCAGTGAGTCCTTTTTCATGAGCTCTAGCTTCTCACTGAGCCCCACCCCTCACTGATCCTCCATCCCCCACTGAGCCCTATACTCTAAGTCTCTGTCTCTCAGCCTCCATTTTCCACTGAGCCCCATCCCCTCACTGAGCCTCTAACCCTCACCCAGCCTCTGTCATGGTTTATATCGTCAACTTGATAGGATCTAGAATCACCTTAGAAACAAATCTCTGAGCATGTGTGTGAGGGGTTTTCTAGATTACATTAATTAAGATAGGAAGACTCACCCTACATGTGGGTAGCACCACGCCATGGGCTGGGACCTCAGACTGAATAAAAGGAGAAAGCTAGCTGAGTATGAGCATTCACTGCTCTCTGCTTCCTGGCTAGATGCAGTGTGACCAGCCTACCCTTCCTGCAGCTGTGCCCTGCTCTGCCAGGATGGGTGGTATCTCTTCCAACTGTAGGCAAATTAACCCTTGCTGTCGTAGGTTGCTTTTTGTCAGGCATTTTGTTGTAGCAACAAGGAAAGTAATTAATACAGCCTCCATCTTTCACTTAGCCTTCATCCCTCTCTGATCCTTCATCCCTCCCTGAGTTTCCATTCCTTTACTAAGCCTCTATCCCCCACTGATCCTCCAACCCTTCAATGATCCTCCATCCCTTCAATGATCCTCCA